AAATATTAATAAAAACACCTTTAATCCTAGCACTCAGGAGGCAGAGGCAGGCAGATCTCTGTTGGTTCGAGACCAGCCTGGTCTACATAGTGAGTTCCAGGTCAGCTAGAGCTACAGGGAAACCCTGTCTCAAAAACTCCAAAATAAATAAATAAATACATACATACATACATACATACATACATACATACATACATAAATAAATAAACAACATAATTTTTGAGTCATTCATTTATAATATAGGGAAAACATTGTTTTACTATTTCTAAGACCATCAGATTCTCCCCAGGCAAGGTTATGTAGCTCAGAGGGCAAGAGTTTATTTAGCATATTTCGATTCTCAGAACCATAAAAAAGGTTCTCTATGCACCCATATCATTTTATTTTAACCTTCATAAAACAAGTCCACAAGTAAAAAGACAAAAGCAAAGTAAAGACCCATAGCACCCGAGATCTGTCTGAGCATCAGAATGCAGTCCTGTGGATCTCCATGGAGTGGCTTGTCATAAGACCCAGCAATGGTATCATTCACTTTCCTTAAAACTTTCTAAGTGCCAGGCACTGCCCTAAGTTCTAAGCTCATATTAGCTTACCATTGCTCAGTCAGTCTCATGAAGTATGTATTGCAACTATCCCCATTTTCCAAAGGAAAAATGAAATCACAGCATGTTAAGTAACTTGCTCAAAGCAGCTGGCTACGAAGGGGCACAGTTGAGAATTAGCTCAGAGAGTCTGCTTCTTACCACCATGTGGCACTACGAGGGCACAGCTGACATCAGTCTTGCTGGTATTAACTCCAAACTTGCTTTGATAGTTGTCACAAACAAAAGTGGCATGTGCTCACTTTCCCAGGGAGGGCATTCAGTAATGGCTCTAAGCTCAAGGACATGAGAAGCATCCAATAATACAGGCCTGTCTCCGCTTTATTCCACTGTCTAACTCTGAGGGTAGATGGGGGTGCTCAGATACAAGCACCCACAAATTAATAACCTCCACATACATTCCCATTTTGTTGGGTTGCCATGCAACCCAGGCTGGCCTGCAACTTGCAATCCTCCTGCCTCAGCTTCAAAAGAGTGCTCAAATTCCAGGTGTATACCACTATGCCTGCTTTCAGATATGTTACGCTGAAAGGTAAAAGGAATATTAAGTCTCCAGGGAAGGGCCTTGGCATGCCTTTCAGTTCTGCCACTGCTGTACTGCAGCCTTAAGCTAGTCACTTTACCTCTTTAAGCCTCAGCTTTTTAACCTGCAAAATGAAGCAAGAGTCTCTCTGTGGTTTCATGCCACTTTGAGCTTCACAGAATCCTTTCTTTACTGAGAAGCCTGATACAAGGAAACAGGAAAACATGTGGCTCTAGCTGTGGGGCTCTGGGGAGGCAGCCCCACCCTTGCTTCCTCCTTCCCCTTCCCCTAGGGGTGGGGGCGGGCTAGATCAGACCAGGAAGATGTCCACAAGGTGGGCCAGTGGGACTCCATGGATGAAACAGCATCTCCACATGTAGACGAATACATGGTGAGCAGAGGTTCTGGGATGGAGAGGAAGGAAGGAAATGGCCAGAATACAGAGGCTCAGGGAGTGAGAATTTGGGAAAACAGCTGCCCAAAGAAGAGATAAAAGTCTCAGCGTTGAAAACCTCAAAGTGTCAAACCAGTGACACTTTGATGTAGGGCAAGCACATGGTCAGAGGAGAGAAGAGCAGAGTATGGATGGGATGGGCAGAGCAGATCAGGAGAGTAAGACTGCTGCCCACGTCAAACGTAGGATAGACAGGGCCACAAAGTGATCTCCCTCACTAGTGCTGGTCTTCTGAGGTCTGGAGACCCTTGATACAAACTGCTCAGTTCCAATACAAAGCTATGCCTAAAGAACAACCACAAAGATATAAATAAAAAAAGGGGGCAGGAAGGACACTTACTGATACATCCTTGGAACAGAGCCTCTAGGACTACCCCACCCTGTGGGACTGCTGATGCACAGCTGTGTGACTGTACTAGGGCCATGGCTTGGGCCCTACAGCAGAGCAAAAGCTTTCAGGTCTCCCACAAATGTATGTACACTATATACCTTTCTACTAATCCACATGTCTAACTGAAACCTACTCCTAAGGTTCTGTGGCCACCAAGTGGATTGCTTCAAAGAGAGATAAATAACCTCCACTCAAAGAACATGTGCAACTCAATAATAAAAAGCCAAAGCAATTTAAAATAGGCAGATTTGAATAGATTCAACATAACACTGCTCCAAAGAAGATGCACAAGGGGTCAAGTCACACAGGAAATGATGCTCAACATCATTAATCATCAGGGAAGTAAAGAACAAAACCACAGTAAGACACTAATCAGTTCCACTAGCAGGATGGCTAGGACCAAAAAGAAGATAATGGTAGGGAGATGGCTCAACAGGTAAGAGCGCTTGTTGGGCAAACATGGGGCCTTGAGTTCAAATCCTAAGAACTCACATTTAAAAAAAGGCCAGGTGTGGTCATATATACACCTGTAACCCCAGTGCTGGGGAGAGGGGGAATTCAGAAGGATCACTAGGGCTGGCTGGTTCTCAGCCCAGCTCCAGGTTTAGTGAGAGATCCTCCCTCAAGGGAATAAGGCAGAGAAAGATACAGTAGGGTATCTGATATGGGTGCACAGAACTACGCACGCATGCACACACACACACACACACACACACACACACATACACACACACCCCTGTGCATATACCACACACATATACCAATAAAGAATAATGAGGAGAACAATGAGGAGGAGGAGGAGGAGGAGGAAGAGGAGGAGAAGGGAGAGAAGGAAGAAGATGAGGAGGAGGAAGAGGAGAAGAAGGAGGAGGAGGAGGAAGAGGAGAAGGGAGAGGAGAAGGAAGAAGAGGAGGAAGAGGAGGAGGACTAGGAGGAGGAGGAGGAGGAAGAGGAGGAAGAAGAGGAGGAGCAGAAAGAAGAGGAAGAGAAGAGGAGTTGTTTTGGAGGAGGAGAACTCTTACACACTGCTGGCAGGGAGGTCAATGGAACAATGGGGACACAGTCTGGCAGCTCCTCATAGATCAGCTTCTAGGTATTTAGTCAAACTGTGTCCTCACAGACTTAAATGTAAGTGTTTTATAGCCAGCATTCACCTTAGAGTGAAAAAAGGAAACAACTCATATTCAACAACTAAAGAATAAGAAAAATATGGCCTATCCATATCTGATTGTTAGTTTTAATTGTCAACTTGGCAAATCTACAATATCTGAAAGAGAGTTTCAGTGTGGTATTGTCTGGATCAGGTTGGCCTGTGGAGGACTGTCTTGATCACATTAACTGATGTAGAAAGATCCAGCCTAATAGTGGGTGGCACCATTCCTGGTGTGGGTTCAGTTACTGTGTAAGAGAGAAAGTAGCTGAGCACAAGCATGCCCGCACTTGTTCTCCTGCTGCTCTTGACAGTGGATGTGACCAGCTGCCTCAAGTTCTTGCTGCCTTGACTTTCCCACAATATGGACTGTAACCTCGAATTATAAACCAAATAAACCTTTTCTCCCTTAAAGTTGCTTTTGTCTGGGTGCTTTACTGCAGCAACAGGAAGCCCAACTAGGATACCACACAAAGGATTACTATTTGGCCCTAAGAGGAAATGAGGTACTCATGACACAACATGGATAAACCTTGAAAACACTGCTAAGAAAGCCACACACAGAAGGCCTCATGTTGTGCAATTCTGTGTATATGAAGGGTAAGAATAAACAAATCCACAGACAGAAAGTACATCAGTGGTTGTCCAGGGCCGAAGGTGGGGAGGAAGGGTAAGGGAAAGGGAGATAGGAACAGATTGCAGTTTCTTCTGAGGGTGATGGAAATGTTCTAAAATTAAGCCAGAAACACACACGTCTGTTATCCCAGACACAGGAAGCTGAAACAGAAGGACTGTTGAAAGTTCAAGACCAGCTTTGGCCATAGAGCAAGATCCTGTCTCAAAAAAACAACAACAAAACAAGCCAGGCATGGTGGTGCACACCTTTAATTCCAGCACTTGAGAGGCAGAAGCAGGCGATCCCTGTGAGACTGAGGCCAGCCTGGTCTACATAGTGAGTTCCAGGCCAGCTGGGACTACAGGGACACCCTGTCTCAAAGAACTTCAAAAACCAAGTCAAAACAAAAAACAACAACAAAAGAAAATGTTCTAAAAATGATTGTATACTGAAAACATCTAAAAAATGTTCTAAAACTGATTAGATATATGGAAAAAAACCATCAAATACTATATTATAAATGGGTAAATTATATCTCAATAAAGGTTTCTTAAAAATTAACAGATTCAGGGCTGGAGAGATGGTTCAGTGGTTAAGAGCACTGACTGCTCTTGCAGAGGACCCAGGTTTAATTCCCAGCACCCACATGGCAGCTAAGAACTGTCCTTAACTCCAGTACCAGGGGAATTCAATGCCCACTTCTGACCTCCAAGGCATTGCATGACATGGGTGCAATCACACACATGTAGGCAATACACTCGTACAAATAAAATAAAAATAATAAATAAAATTTTTTAAATTAACAGATTCAAACAAACAAAAACCCCAACTTTAGTCTCACTGGATCCACACAGGCAGAGAGAGAAATCCAAAGCACAGGCTCTGGGCAGCCCTGGCATCTGGGGACAGAGTGAGAACAGAGGAGCAAGAAGCCCAGTCCCGCAGCTGAGGGGGCCTCGTGACCTTAGCCACACTCTCCCTTTAGGCCAGTATCAAGCTCTGTAAAATGTCAACCATCTGGCCTACCTCACAGAGTCAAGCAATTAGATGAAACCCTTAGTGTGACACTGTTTGGCATTGAATCAAACACTGCTCACAAGCTTAAAAAAATGACCTGTAGGAAAGTACAATGCAGAGCATATGGACTCCTCATAAATGTAAAGTGGTTTTACAATTTCATATATAAACATGTAACCCATATTATATAACATTTATGATTAGAAAGAACCCATCTTCAATGCTAAATGCTACTCTCAAAACTCACTTGAGCTCATTACCCCACTGCTTCAGAGAGAAGTTAATAGAATTCGGATGCCCTGGGGCTGGCTGATTTGCAGCCTGTTCTCCCACCAGCTCTCCAGGGACCGTTTCCACAGCCAGGACGTTTCTGGCTTTTTCAGCAGACAGATTTGGGTTCGGGAAAATTAAATCTGAAAGAAAAGTAAACAATTGTCAGTTACCCCACACTTCTACAGGAAACTTGACATGTGAGATAAAGCATTGACTTGCTGCAGTGCATAAAAATATAAACAATGCAGCATATTTTGGAGGAAGGGGTTGAAACAGGGTCTCCCTGTAGCCCCAAATAGTCTAGAACTTGATATGTAGACCAGGCTGGTCCAGATCTCACAGAGGTCCACCTGCCTCTGCCTCCTAAGAGCTGGGATTAAAGGCGTGTACTACCACGCCTGGCTATAATAGCATTTTTAATATATACTATGTAAGAACGTAATCCATGGGTGGCTTTGGTGTTCATAAACTCTTTTCATCTAAAGTAATGTCATGTTTCTCAAAGGAAGGCTGTGATGTACTTCAAGGCCACCAAAAATTAAGTGTTGGCCTGGGGAAAGAAAAAGCTAGACTGTCCCTCCAGTCTTGTAGATCAGTAACCCTGGCATAAGCCTGTGGGCAAGGTCCACTCACCTACACTGATAAGGAACGATTTCCAGGATAATAAACTGCTATTTGGCAAAAGCAAAGAGAGCGAGCACAAACAAGAACACAATGGCTAAAGTCTGTAAATTATGACACTGAAAAAATAAGTTTCACCACAGAATAGGAGGTCAGCAAATTCACAGCCAAAGGCACTGACACTGAAATATGGCTAAAGCTTGAAATATCTTTTTTTAATGTGTGTGAGTATATTGCCTGTGGGTATGTAACTGCACCTGTGTCATACAATGCCCAAGGAGGACAGAAGAGGGCATTGGATCCTTTGGAACTGGAGTTAGGGACAGTTGTTAGCTGCCACGTGGGTGCTGGGAATCAAACCTGGGTCCTCTGCAAGAGCAGCCAGTGTTCTTAACCGCTGAGTCATCTCTCCAGTCCCCAAAATATCTCTTTAAAATGTAAGCATTGGAGATGTCCAGGGTTGAAATAATACGATGTCCAAGATTTACTTCAAAATAACAATATTTTATATCCTAAATAATATTTGCTTCAAATAACATGCTATTTGCTGCAAAATAACAAAAGTGGATAGAGGTATGAATCAAGAAATGTCATGGGACTGAAGAGATGGCTCAGGGGTTAAGAACACTGGCTGTTCTTGCAGAAGACGGGGGTTCGAATCCCAGCACCCACATGGCAGCTAACCACTGTCTGTAACTCCAGTTCCAGGGGATCCAACAGCCTCTTCTGTCCTCCATGGGCATTACACGACATGGGTGCACATATCTACACACAGGCAATACATGCATACACATAAAAACATAAATTTTTTTAAATGTCATAAAATAGTGAAAGATAATCATTGATGATGTTACCTAACACAAAGATAATATTGATAAAGATAATATTGTTACTCTTCTTGCGTTATTTTTTTAAAATATTTTGTTATTTTTATTTTATGTGTATGAGTGTATTGCCTGCATGTATGTGAGTGCACCCGTGTCGTGCAATGCCACGGAGGTCAGAAGAGAGCTTCGGATTCCCCTGGAACTGGACGGTTCGTGGCCACCATGTGGGTGCTGGGAATCGAACCTGGGTCCTCTGCAAGAGCAGTCAGTGCTCTTAACCACTAAGCCAAGTCTCCAGCCCCCTGCATTATGTTTTAAAAAACAATTCCACCAGGCATGGTGTTATATGCCTTTAATCTCAGCACTCCAGAGGCAGATAGCTGTGAGTTCCAGGCCAGGCTGACCTATACAGCAAGTTCCAGGCCATCCAGGGCCACACGGTGAGACCCTGTCTCAAAAAGAGAAAAGGCAATTCCAACTGCAAATATTTTGTATTCCTCCCAATGACATGTCTCTGAGAATGGGGTATGTTTTTAAAAAAAAAATTAACAAAATGGCCCTCATCCCTTTTTTTTTTTTGGTCTTTTTGAGACAGGGTCTCCCTGTAGTCCCAGTTGGCCTGGAACTCACTATGTAGACCAGGCTGGCCTTGAACTCACAGAGATCCACCTATCTCTGCCTCCCAAGTGCTGGGATTAAAGGCATGCGCCACCACGCCCGGCAGCATCCCTTTTTAATAAAGTAACCCTACATCAACAATATTAATGTGTAAGCACAATTAAAATGGACCTGCTAACCACTGATAGCCAAGGAAGAAATTAAGTTTCTCACTGGACCAGGGTCACTTAGGACAGGCCTCTACAAAGGTCTCTGAGGACTGGTCAAAGCAGCAGCAACCAGGGGTCTGGGCAACATCAGCCCTTGGAGACTGATGTCCTACCTGGGAACACCTCATAGGCTTTCTTTCGCCTTGTAGGCAGCTCACTAGCTTAACTACTGTCAATGTCAGTGGGAAAGGTTCCAAGAACACCCTGGTATCTTGGATGTGACTAGAATAAGAGACTGCTACTCCATCAGAGAATGTCACCTAGGGTCATAGAATCACTACACAACCTATGTTGTGTGTTGCCACATTTTAGGAACTAGGCATTGAGGATACAGCACCAATGACCTAGAGCTGTGGCTATACAGGAGAACGTGTTAAGGGAACACAGTATGCCAAGCTCCAAGCCACCACAGAATACAAAGAGTCCTGGTAGTCAGACCCTTACTCTGAGCCTTAGGGTTTCAGGATATGCCTGGGGACTGCTAGATTTCACTTGGGAAAGGGTATTCAATAAACAAAAAGGAAAAAAGTACAAATACTATTAATTTAGGTCAATCTCTAACTACTTTGTCTGGAGACTAAAACCCTGAGCCAGGGATAAAATAGTTACCTGGCCCTGTAGCAATTCAAATAGCCAGCAAGCAGAGGATCATCTGATCAGGACCCAGCAGCCAAAATACAGTGGGCACTCATTGCTGTGAGTGCTTGAGTTAGTCCAGGAACACAGGGGACAGAGGCTCCACCCTTGACTTCAGAGCAAGGTAGAGCTGTCCCACAAGCTTTCTGAAGCTGGTCTCTCACAGACCCAACTTGGGTAAAAGCATCACAGCTCTAAGCCCAGCCAGGAAACAACCAACCAACTATACCCACTGCTGCAACTCACAGGTGCAACAGTGCTTCCGGTGTGGGCTGGCAACAAGGCCATGTGATCCCTTAGGAGTGAGGATTATCCCTAATGTGACAAAGTGACTACTACCAAGAAAACGTGGAACTTCAGGAACCCTCAGTCCATTCTGGAAGGACCTCAGAGGAACTGGCAGGGGTGGGCACAGAAAGGGTTTGAGGAAGACCACCGAAGCCCAGGCTGCAGAAATTATCCTTCGGGGGCGGGGTCTCACATGCAGAAACAAAATTTAAAAGTCATTCTTTTGAGGCTAATAAGATGGCTCAGCAAAAAGAAAGCACTTATCAAACCTGAGGACATGATTTTGATGCCCAGGATCCATAGGGTAGAAGGAGAAAACTGAGTCCTATAAGATGCCCTGACCCACCCCAACATGCACACATGCACACATAAATAAATAAAATGCAATAATTTTTTTGTTTGTCTTTGTTTTTGAGACAGGTTCTCCCTGTAATCACGGCTGGCTTGGAGCTTGCTATGTAGACCAGGCTAGCCACAATCTCAGAGATCCACCTGCCTCTGCCTAGTGCTAGGATTAAAGGCATGCGCCACCACATCCTGCTCCAATAAATTTTTTTTTTTTTTTGAGACAGGGTCTCCCTGTAGCCCCAGCTGTCCTGGAACTCACTATGTAGACCAGGGTGGCCTTGAACACACAGACATCCGCCTGCCTCTGCCTCCAGAGTGCTGGGATTAAAGGCATGCACCAATATGCCCAGCAAAATATTTATTTATTTATTTATTTATTTATTTATTTATTTATTTATTTTTGTCTTTTTGAGACAGGGTCTCCCTGTAGCCCCAGCTGTCCTGAACTCCCTATGTAGGCCAGGCTGGCCTTGAACTCACAAAGATCCGCCTGCCTCTGCCTCCCAAATGCTGGGATTAAAGGCATGCGCCACCACGCCTGTCATTATTTATTATTTTTATTTTATGTATATGAGTGTATTGCCTGCATGTAGGTAAGTGCACCCGTGTCATGCAGTGACCAAGGAGAGCAGAAAAGACTGTCAGATCCCCTGGTACTAGAGTTAAGTTATGGACAGTTGTTAGCTGCCATGTGGGTGCTGGGATTTGAACCCAGGTATTCTGTAAGAGCAGTGTTCTTAATCGCTGAGCCATCTCTCCAGGCCCCTCCAATAAAATTTTTTTGAAGTTATCACTTGACCTAAAACACAAGCTGCTTCTTTTACAGTGAGTGTGGTTATTTTTTGCATATTTCTTTTATTTTTTTAAAGACAAGCGAGATTTTTACCGAAAGTGGAGCTGCTGGCTTCTTCTCAGTGTGTGCCCTAACATTAGCATGCAGGGAGCCTCTGGAAGGACAGCAGGGGCATGCCCTAACGTTAGCATACAGGGAGCAGGGGAAATGCAAACTAGGACAGTGCAGCTTTTCCTAGAAGACCTCAGGATGTTGGACTGCTGCTCTGAGCCTGTCCTTTGTCTTAGAGCTGCAGAGGCGAGAGAAAGTTTGCTCTTGAAGGTATCTGATGTTTAGACCTCCATTCTTTTAAAGTATTTTCCAATGCCTATGTGACATCCTGGAGGGAATTTAGACTGTAATGTTTATACTTCAGAGGGCCTGATTCCAGTGCAACCTCTTGATTTCAGTGACCTGGGGCAGTTTCAGCTTCCCTGAAATGCCCAGTTTCCTGTCAGGGCTCTTGACAGAGGCACCTACTCATACCTGACCTGCTTCTGTGAGTCTGCCTCTTCCCTCCTCTTCTACCTTGCCAGCAACCTCTGCAGACAGCACAATGTATGCATGACCAGAATTCCCATGAAGAAAACACCAGGAGATGAACATTCATCCCCACACTGGTGTCAGACAGCAAAGAGCTGGGACGTCACCAAGAGTAGGGAGGGAAGGACAGGGCAAGCTTAATGGAGATTAAGCTCAAGGCCTTGTGCTTGCTAGGCCAGGATTCACTCAGCTACCATCCCAGCCTCCAAAAAGTTTTTTAGTGAAAGTGAGTTTTGATCCAGATAGTGAAGGTGTGGTCAGGAAGAATAGAGATATCTACATAAGGATGTAGTTCCCATCCTAACACCAATAAGTCATGTGGCTCTGAGAGCTCCTAAGGTGGACCAACACATGTCTAGTTAAAGCTGGCCTACCTATCCATGTTTCCCACCAAGGATAGTCTGTGAGACTGGGAGCCCTGTCTAATTCACTAATAGCTAGAGCCCTCACCTAGCAGAGAAGGGGCTCAAGTGGAATGGGTAACATGGATGGTTATGGTTGAATGACAGAAGACAGTAACTTGCTATATAGCAGGACTAGCCTCAGAGTGAGGAAATGATGCAGGAGAGGGGCAGAGCTCCCCCCGCCCCACACACAGTTCTCAATAGACTGACACTTGTGGTTCCTCCTGACTTCCCTCTTCCTGTCACCTCCCAGCTCCATCAACTATTGGGGATGCAAGACTCACAGATTCCCTCTCTTCTCTCCTATTCTTTCCTGCTCTTCTACAATCTCAGCCCCAGCAGCCATTGAAAGTCCCAGCAACCCCTGCCTTCACTTGTTCAGATTCCTACCTAGAGCCAGGCTCAGAAGGTCTCTGCAGAACCAATCCCTGGCCAGTTCCGGGCAGACTACTTTCAGACCCTCTCCCCTGGGCTTCCAGATACCCTGCAACACTTGGCTGAATTTTTACTCCACATAGTATCTCCCTCCTGTCCTCTCTAGCATACATGTACTTTTTCACTGCCTGAATCAAGTAAGAAAGAACCTGGCTCAGAGAACATCTTGTTTCCCAGAAGGGGATGCTGAGATGTACTCCCTAAGCTTTCTCTACTGAATTAGAGAGATACAGTTTCTTAGAGACAACACTGGTGATCACAATAACTCATACTGTAAAATATGTATTGGTATTTTGTAGCATTTCACAAACAGGATAATACGGAAGCACAACTTCTGTGATCACTCCATGGGATTACAGTATTAAAGAATGGCATGTAACTGTCATGGTGCTAGTGCTAGTTCTGCACTCTACCCACAGGCCTTCTTGCAGCCTAAGGGCTTACAGGGATTCCTGCACAAGCTGCTGAGAGCGGAAAGGAGCTTGTCCCCCTCCTTCCTCCTGCTCACACAGTGCTGTGGAAAACTGGGCAGTTAAAGTAGGTGTTGGGCTGCTACAGAGGAGGAAATGTGTGGTCATCCGTCAAGACATTTTCACACTACAATTTTCTTAAGAAATACCACCCATATTCAGGCAGTCAGCCCACTGTGGTCATGACTGTTTTCATACACCTGGGTCTCAAGAAGCATTATGAAAAACAAGGTCTCATTATCACTGCTGTTTTCTTATAAGGTCATGGGGAGAATAAAGTAAACAAGTGGGCTGGACATCCATCCTGAAGCCATATTCAGCATCTGAAACCTCAAATACTATGAAGACTTGAATGCAGACCCTTGAATGCCACCCAGAGTCAATGAGTCAGTCAGTCAACAGCTATGAAGATCTGAATGCAGATCCTTGATTATCAGCACCTATAAAGACCTGCATGCAGGGGCTGGAAAGAAGGAGCAGTGGTTAAGCGCACTGGCTGCTCTTGCAGAGGACCTACATTCAGTTCCCAGCATCCCTGTAGCAGCTAACAACTGTTGGTAACTCAGTTCCAGGGGATCCAACACCCTTTTCTGTCCTCCATGGATACTACACGACACAGGCACACTTACATACATGCAGGCAATATATTCATGCCCATAAAATAAAAATAAATAAGTAAAATAATTTTTAAAGACCTACATGCAGACCCTTGGCTTCTTTCATCTTTGCAAAGGAATAATTTGAAACCAGGTCCTTATCCTACCAAACCCATCAGCCAGTGGAGAATGGTGTTTGAGGCACAGCATACTTTCAGAAGCCAGGCTGCAAATGGACAGCAGACAGAACACATAATGAAGCCATAAAGTCACCCCACTTTCTAAAACTTGCCTGAAAATCTGAACTCCAATCATACAAATAAACAGTCTCTAAAGCTAGGAAATTTAGGAATATAGGCAATTATGTGACAGTGTCAGTTCATGACCAAGTATTCATTCCAGCTTCTCCTTTCTTAGAGACCTTGCTTTTGATGGCCATGTGCTGAGCTTGGCCCCCCAGATTCCTCTCTCTCTCCAGTCATTTGACATGGCCATGAGGAATGGCCATGTGATGGTCAGCTAATGACACATAAGCTGAAGGTTTCTGGGAAAGCGTCCTTCTTTTTCATATGAATGCCACTGAGAGTCAGTGGGCATGAATCAGAAAGCTAGCTCTAAGAATGGAGCAGAGTTAAGGTGGCCTAGGCTCCTCAACAGTACTCAGGAGTCAGCTCCAGCTCTGACCTGCCTGTGAGTGAGAAAAATACTAATACTCTTGTTAATCTGGTTTCCTGTCACATGCAGTGAAATATAATCATAGACCATTCAAGGTCACATCATCAGATGTATGTGTGTGTGTGTGTGTGTGTGTGTGTGTGTGTGTGTGTGTGTATATCTCTACATAAATATCTCTACACTTAGCAATATGGTTTCCCAGTCAATCTTCATGAGATGGGAATGTGGACAAACTCTGTTTTCACAGTAGCTTATATACTCCTACACGAGAGGGAAAGTGACTTGCTCAGAGCCTCACTATCAGTAACTATCACAGCCAAGACCTCAAATCAGGCCCCCAGGGCTTCTTCCACAAGACAGGATCACCTTCCAAGATACACACCTGGCTCTTCACACATAGTGTCAGTTCCTTCTATCTTTCCCCATGCTGATTTTAGGTGCTTGGAGGGTCTTGATGGGTGACATTCATTCAACTACAACTAAAGTATCCCAAGAGGGGGAAAAATGTGTTCCAAATGACAGGGTGACTGGGAGACAACAGTAGGAAAGTTTGATTTTTCAGGTAAACTACAGTTATAGTCTAGAAGTTATCATGGTTAGGGCACTGCCACATAATCATGCAATTTATCTTTTTGGGGGAATCTTTTGGGGATAGGGTCTGCAGAAGTCTACGAAGGCACAGGGATTCTAGAACACAACTAGCTGCATATGCGAACACTATCCTTTGGTGTGACAACACCCCTAGGTGCTGCACTGTATTCAGCTGGGCAGAGGGTCCACAAGCTGTATGGAGAGCAGACCACAGCTCTTAATCAGTGTTTGAACAAGCCTGTACTGATTTCTGTTTTAATGTACATTCCCTGGTGTATTTCAAAATGCTAGTACAAGGGGCTGGAGAGATAACTCAGCAGTTAAGAGCACTGGCTGCTCCTACAGAGGACCCAGGTTCAGTTCCCAGAAACCATTTGGTGGCTCACAACTGCCTGTAACTCCAGTTCCAGGGGATCCGACATCCTCTTCTGACCTCCACAGGGATTACACTGCATGTACTTACACACATGCAGGCAAAACACTAATATACATAAAAATAAACACTAGGTATAGGGGCTAAAGAGATGCTCAGTAACTAAGAGCACTTGCTGCTCTTGCAGAGGACCCAGGTTCAATTCCCAGCACTCATATCAGATGGCTCACAGCCACCTGTAACTCCAGCTCCAGGGGATCAGGCACACTTTCCTGGCCTCCTCAGGCACATGCATACACATGTGTATATACTCACACACAAACGCAGACATCAATAAAAGTTCAAACAAATCTTCTAAAAATTGCTAGTATAGTGATAGTGAGATGGTTTAACAGGTAAAGGGGCTTGCTGTAAACCTGATGACCTGAGTTTGAGTCCCAGGGCCTACATGGGAGAAGGAGGGAATTGACACCTGTAAATTGTCCTGTGATCTCCACACACCCACAATGGAACGTGTGTGCTCACCCTGACACAGAGGTGTACATACACATACAAATGAATGAATGAATGAATGAATGAATGAATGAAATTTTTAAATGTGAGTACAATGGCCTGGCCATTTTAGGACTCATTTCAGAGCTCAGGAGTCTATTTTTTCCAAGTTCATTCTACCTACCTGATAAAAGCCTTTAAAAAGTCCCACCCCATAGCCTTGGCAGGGGGTAGCTGGGTGAGATGATCAGCAATAACTATCTCATTCTTTCTAGAAAGCTCAATATGATCAATAATCATGGGAAGATTATGGGATTTAAATTCTGCTATTCAAATACAAAAGCACATTATGTCTGGCTACAAATGGTTAGGAATTGCCATGACTTATGAAAATGCCATGAATCTAGAATAAAATAAAAACAGTGCTTGAGTGTTTAAGTATTCCTAGGAAATACTGGAAAGTAACAAGTGGAATGCTTTGAGAATACCTTCCTGGCACATTAAAAATGCAAAGCCTAAGAAGTCAGTCCAGGCGGGAATACATAGTGTGAGAACTTCATCTTCAAGTATGGTAGAAGACAGACTGGCCTTGAAGCAGAATGGAAGGTATATGTTGTGGGTTGTAACTTCAGGTATATACATGTTGGCTTCAGTCATTCCTGTCATTCACCTGACACCAGCCTTGCCTGACACCCTGGCCAACACTGGCTTGAAAATGGTTCTGTACCTAGAGCACTCCGCACTATGGGATGCCACCCATTCAAAAAGATCACCAGTATTTTCATTCTGAATCCATTTTCACTCACTGCTAAGTTGACTTGCTGTGTCAAATAGCTATGCACAAAGAACACGGGTGGGGGGGGCGTCCCTCCATTTGTGCCTTACCTGTGTTATCTCTGGCTACGAGTCCCTTCGGAAAATCCCCTGGAGTTGGAGAAGTCCTGCTGTCCCATTTCACCATGTCCAGGCTGTTGCAATATTCCCATCTTTTCTGCTGAAGTTCCTGTAACCAGTAAGTCATAAGCTGACGATTAGGAGCCTAGAGAGAAAGGAGGAAGAAAACCTTGTTATGGCCACCAGTAAAATAAAAGCTAAAAAATGCGTACAAACTAGACACATGAAAGAGCATCAGTAAGAAGAAAGTAACTTGGTTTCCCAGTGGAACTTGATGGTAAGACCCTACCACTAAAGACAACCATTCGCTTCAGACACAGACTGCAAAGTTATCAAGCTGGAAATGAGCTGGAAGCTTCCTCTGTGCCGATCTTTCACGGTGCCAGAAGATGTTATATAGGTTGCTGGGGGGAGAAAAACCATCAACTGTGATTCCAGTTGTGAACACTGAAAACTACAATACCAACCTGCCAATGTGCCTACTGGTATAACAGTGGCTTGCTTATGATGGGGTTAAATTAACCACTTTCTGATTGGCTTTTAGGCCTACCAAATATAAGGGAAACCATCCTTGATACTATAAATCTGGTTAAGAACCTGTGGTTGAAGAGGTCACAGGCCCCAAAGAGGAACCTACTAATTGCTAAATGCACATGCTGGTAAACTGCCTTCTAAACATTCATATTTATACCCAATGATTAGTGATGCTCTCAGCCTTGGTCTCAGAAGCTTCCCATAGCTGCAAGCAGTAGTTAATAAGAGGCTCCTAACTGATCAAAGTGCCAAGAGTAAGCAATAGTGGAGTACTCAACCCAAAACAGGACCTCTATATAACCCTCTCTAAGGCTCAGGTAACATCTGGGAAGAGGGGGCAGGAGGATAAGGGAAGGGTGCTACAAAAAGACATCTGAACATGACATGGCTGTTGCAATCATGAACTCACTGCAGCTGTGGTGACCAGTACAAGACTACAGCTGTCAAGATTTCCTCATGGATAAGGAGGGGCTCATGAGGCCCCACACCTCCCTTAGGGACTTCATGGTAGCTAAATGTTATTGTGGGGGGGTGTCTTTTTCTTCAGTGGTGTAGTCACTGAAAAGTATCCCATGCTCCAGTAACTAGCCTCCCACCCATGCTCATGCAAGCAGCCCCAACTGAACTCAGTGGGTCACACACAGAGAAAGACGTAAAAGTAGGAAGGGAATCTATTAGGAAAATGAAGGGTTTCAGTGTTAAGAGGGAGGGGTGAGAGAGCAATTGGGGTGAAAATGACTACAATTCATTATAAACACACATGAAACTGACAAAGAATAAATTTAAAGGCAGAGGAAGAGGAAGAGGATGACTAGGAAGAGAAGGAGGAAGAGAAGTAGAAAGAGGAAGAAGAAGAAGAAGAAGAAGAGGGGGAGGGGAGAGGAGAGGGTTCAGTTTTAGTTAAAGGCACTTGCTCTTATACACCTGGTGATCTGAGTTAAATCCCTGGAACTCATGTAAAGGTAGAAGGAGAGAACCAAATTCACAAAGTGGTCCTCTGACCTCCACACATCCACCATGGATAACATGTGCACCCCAACCCGCCTCCTCATGCACACACAGATATACACACAATGAGAGAGAGAACACAAGAGGATTTCAGTCACAGGATTAGAAGCTGTTGCTCCAGAGTTAGTTAAGCAAATAGTAATTCTAAGATACAGATTTTAACCCAATTTATTAAAAAACGTTTTTATACAGACATGCTCACAGGCCAATCAGATAAAGACATTCCCCAACTGAGGTTCCTTCTTCCTGGGTGTGGAAGCTGATAAACAAAGCTAGCCAGATATAAGGCTTAGTGGTGGTTCACACCTTTAATCCCAGCACTTGGGAGGCAGATGCAGGTAGATTTCTGTGGGTTTAAGACCAGCCAGTTCTACACAGTGAGTTTCAGATGAGTCAAATCTACATAGTGAAACTGTTTCAAATGAAACCACACACACACACACACACACACACACACACACACACAAAATCTATGTGAATGTTTATAAAGGCTTTATTCACAATTGCCAAAAACTGTCAACAGCTATACTTCATCTGGTGAACAGATAAAAAGACTGTGGTACATCCATACAATGAAATACTACTCAGCAATTAAAAGGAGCAAAATGTTAATTCACAATCTATATGAATATTAAATACATTTTGCTAACTGAAATAAGTCAGATCACAAAGGTCACATATTATGTCTCCAAACAACCTGAAAAGGCAAAATTATGAGGACAGAAACAAATCTGGAGTTTTTAGCGCTTAAGGGTGAGACAGGAGCTGACTACAAAGGAGCAGCACCAGAGAATTTGGGATGATGGAATTATCTCATATCACAACCATCCTGGTAGAGTCATGATTTTATATACTAATCTAAACCCAAAAAACTGTATACCACAAAGACTGAATTTCACTCTGTACCATAAGTACATTAAGGAAAAAAAAGAAATCAACTAACCAAGTGCTGGGGAGATAGTTGGTAGGTAAGAGCACTTGCATTAAGCACGAGGACCTGAATTCAAATCCCCAGAGCCCATGTGAAAAGCCAGGCATGGCTACTATATGACCACCTGTAACCCCAGCACTGTGCAGATAGCAGCAGGACAGTCACTAGGGCTTGTTGGCTACCAGTCTAGCTCTAGGTTCAGTGAGAGACCCTGACTGAAGGGAACAAGGTGCAGAGTGATAGAGCAGGAAACCTAATATCTGTCTTTGGCCTGTACCCTACACATCACACACACACACACACACACACACACACACACACACGTGCGAGAAATCAATGAAGATATGGGGAATCCCAAATTACGAACCTAGCTGCAAATAAACCAACTAGGTGCGGGTCACGGATCTCCCAACAGCCCTTTGCAAGACTCAAGAAGAAGGAAGGGTGCCGTGTCACAACTGTGGGAACATCACTAATTCTGGAACCCAGTGAGGTGTGCAGAATTCAGACACCATGCTTCCAGATGACAGGTAATGTAAAAACTGTCCTGCATGAAAGTAATGAACCTACAGACTAAACTGCTACTATGTAGAAGCAAAAGAAATAAGGACAGAGGTTTCCGGGCCCTGTGACTACAGCCTGGGCTTTTTTGTGATACCATTTGCAGCATTGGCCCCAAGTAAGGAAAACCATCTACTACAGGATCTCTGGGTATTTATGGAAAATTCTTCCAACTATCAGCCAAGCTCTCATTTCATCCACTCATCCAACAACTTAACTGAATACTTCTCGAGTATCAAAAACTGGGGCTTGGCCCATTAGAAAACAAACCAGTTGTTTCCAGGGTGTGTTGAAAGCTCTGACAAAGGGAATGGGGTGAGGTGGACAGCACTACATACAGAGGGATGCCTCCTCATACAGCACAGGTGAGATGAAGGGAAAGGTACTTAAAGATTAGCACCTGCCACCTGCAGCCTGAACACTTCAAAGTACTGGCTTACTGTCTCTCTTCAATAAACCTAAGCTCTGAGGTGCCTCCTGTAATTCTAGCTCAGTGTCAGGCACTTATTTATTAAGTGAAAGAATAAACGAACAACAAAGCAGACAGTAACCCAGGGTTTGGTTTTTAAAGATATTATGTAGAGGGGCTGGAGAGATGGCTCAGTGGTTAAGAATACTGATTGTTCTTGCAGAAGATGCAGGTTCAAATCCCAGCACCCACATGGCAGCTAACAACTGTCCGAAACTCCACTTCCAGGGGATCCTACAACCTCTTCTGCCCTCCGCGGGCATTGCATGACATGGGTGCAGTTACCTACACACAGGCAATACATGCATACACATAAAATAAAAATAAATAAAATTTTTTTAAAAAGTATTATATAGCAATTTCCTCCCAGCTAAGACACTCCATCCTGGAGGAAAGCTCCTTAAGAAAGGATGTTAAAAAGGACCTGGAGCAACAGGATGGTCTAAGGAAGAGGTACAACATTCCATCTTTCAGGGAAATTTGTCAGCTCAGGAAGTAAATTAGCTTCAGGAAGTCCCTGAAACTGGTAGGTTCACTAGGCCCCTCCTTCCTCAAGCACATATAAGCAGTAAGGACTGCTGAGAGATACTTGCAGACCAGAGTGCCTGGAAGAGGCTCAGTATGCTACAGGTTTCCTGCATTCATGAGTTGTCACCCATGCGGGGGTGGGCTTCCGCAATGCAGCTGTCATTTGAGTCATTTCTGTTCCTGTAAGTAACCCCTCACCCACTCCTGTAAGTAACCCCAATAAACTCACTGGTTCACCAAGTCGGACTTTGGTGGCATCCTTTGGTCTGTCACGGGTTCCCTCTCTGGGGTGAGTAGCTACTCATATCTCTCAGGAATAGTGTCACACAGCAAAAGGGGATGCAGGCAGCATCCAGAACAAGAAGTAAGAAGGGACACCAGACAGAGGGGTTATGCAGAAGCCCACTGGCAGGGCAGCAGAGGTGGCAGGCAGAGGAGGTGGTTTGGCAGAACCCAGGCTGGTCTCCCATTCACTTCCTAAAGAGGTAGAACAGGGAGCTAGCAGGGCACTGGCAAAGTGAGACAATGCCACTGCTGGTGAGAACGTGGGGCAGAGGTATAGACTTGGATAGGAGGAGGAGGTCAATTACCTCATCAGCCCCAGAAGTCAAGAGCCCACTTTGGAGCCCCACAAATTGCATCTGGGCTCTGAGTGGCAAAATGGTTGTAGGCAGGATAGCAGCAGCTGGGCTCAACCCTGGGGCAAAGCACAGAATGCAGGCACCACCACCCCTACTTCCAGAGAAGGAAGGGAGTCCCAGCGCAAGTCAGGGACTAGGAGACAACTGGCCACAGTCCAAGCATAAAGCCCCCTAGTCCTGGCTCCCTTTCTCAAGATCAGGATGGAAAGTGACTTCCTAGGTCACACAGTTGAGTCCATGATAGGGCTGGCCCTGAGACTCTATACACCTACATCTACCTCCACAGGCAAGCGCTTGGGGGGTGGGGGGTGACCTAGACCTCCTACTTCTCCCTGCCTGGCCCACTCCTCCATGATCATCCTGGGAGAAGCCAGGACAGGGATGTACCTCAAGTCAGGCAGCACTTGTTCTCCTCCTACTTCTCCAGCCTGCACATCTACTGTGATTTCACTTGGGCTCAGGGGCACTGGTTG